TGCCATGCAACACTCAAGATCGGCAATTACATTATTTTATCACGAGTCGACTCTGATATCTCCAGTTATCTCTTGGGGATATCGTTGGGGTCGTCCCCCTGCCTTCTTACCCACTTCACTCTCTTGCAGTTTGTTTTTTACCCCCGGGTTTCCTCAAACTTAATTTTCTTTTCGGCTCAATGAGATGATAAAGTCAAATAAAAACATTTTACCAATCTTTTTCTAAAGTATGCGGATAGTTTCTAACCGAAGTGCCTTCGAGGCTCTACCGAAACTTTGTCTCGGATATATATTTTCTAATTGAAAAGAGTTGTGCATGCAGAGGCTGAAGCAAGCACTTCACTTCTATTTTGCCGCTCAAAAGTGAGTGCCTAATTGGATTAATTGGCAACTAAGAGGGGTAAAACTGCAGGAAGTCTGAAGGGTTCTGGGGTTTTAAGCACATAGTTAGAGAAAGGAAGTAAATTTAATCCATCTAAAATGTGGAAACAAAAAATATGAAAGGATCTGAAAGGAATGAAAAATACAGATGGTTTTTCGAAACCTAATTCAAAAAAATTCAAAAAAYTTTCTCTCCGGCCGGGAATCGAACCCGGGTCTCCCGCGTGACAGGCGGGGATACTTACCACTATACTACCGAAGACTTATAAGGTTTATTTACATGCGCGGTGTTATACTGAATGTTTAAGTTATGATAACTTCAAAATAAAAACAATTTTTATAAGAATAAATCACAATTAAAAAAAATAAGTAGTCTATTTTTTGTCGGTGCTCAAATACTTTATATCTGTTGTAATTTTGTGCTCTTTTTTTATTTTAAGTACACTTAAAATAAAACACTTTCTGTGGAAAAAATGCGGATTGTCCATAAATTTGCAGAAAAACCACTCACAAACTGTTGAAAATCATGTTGAAACGACCCGTTATTTGTCATTGAAAGGCCGTAAAGGCAGAAAATCTAGCACAATTCACCCTTGAAAATGTTCTAAGTAAAACTATCGACTACTAGCGAAGGAAACAGTGACAACGTAGCTCTACATTCAACAAAATGCTGGATATTTGATAAAATCTCAATCTTTCGGGCAAATTTTCCTGAGAACTCTTTGAGCAAACTAGGTACCTACTTTCCCAGCCCTCATAAGTATGATCTATCTAGAATGACTTCTGAAATCGTCAAAGCCATTAAAATAGACGACTGTTACATCAACCAATAAATGTTGTGATCGACTTGAAATTATCTTGAAATTAGTTCGAATCCTTATAGATCCTCCACCAGAATATAACGCATTAGCGAACACTCCTAACTTTTTGGTATTTTCTGGCAGGTCGTTCAACCGGTTGCGATTCCGGAGGTAAAAGCGAGTAAGAAAAATATTACTCTGCTCTTTTCCAGACCGAGAACCCTTTTTTGCACTAAACCACCTACAGGTTGAAAACATCAAGCCTGACGGCTGAAGATTTATTTTTGAAGCACATGTTAGTATATATGGCAAGTACATTTACAACCTTTCACATGGTCTTCCACTGACAATCAAAGCTGACTCTACAAATCTATATAGGTACTAAACCACCGCGCGCCAGTAATACATAATTCAAGTACAGTCATTTTTTCGGAATTCCAACATGGGGAATTTATTTCTGCTCTTTGGCAGATACTGAATTTAATCACTGCCGGACATCGTAAAAAAGATCGATCAGTTATATTATCCTGCATAAAGCGGCGGCAGTTTATTGATGGGAAATACAATGGTGCATTATTCATTACTTTCATTTTCTTTCTGAGTGTCTCCACAGAACGCTTTGCATAAGGAATTTATTTATTCAATTCCACCTGACAGAAGCAGCAACAGTAAAGGGACACCAACCCGGCGCGGATTTATCAGAAACTTTTCCTCAATTTATTTCAGTATACGCCAGAGTCAGAGTTTAGCCTAAAATCCTCAGCGATTGCAAAATCCACTTTTAACTAAACCAAGTGGAAAACTTACGCAACCCGTAAGTGAGAAAACTATAACAAATATAAGAGCGGTTCAAATTAAAATGCAATTAGTCAAAGAGTTTGATCCCATCCTGGCAGCGTGTATCTAAACTAGCCTATACCAATAATTAAAAAATTCCAAACCAAAATGAGAAAATTCTTCGGTATGTAGGTCGGGTCAATCTTTAAGGCCCATTAAGCGCCTTCAACCATTGGGCGAATTGTGATCGGTGCGTGAGATTTTTTTAAAATCTTACATGATACTTATATTGCGGTACTTGCCATCATGGGCATAATCTCAACTTTAATCATATTCTTCCTGTCACCGTGTTTCAACTTTGAACTGTGGATGATTTTCCGCAGATTAAGCTTTTTTTCTTCCAGTTCAGAGCCCAAAGTGGGCAAGATGGCCCGAGGAATAAATGATCATCCAGTTGACTAGATGATTATCAAAATTAATTAGCCAATTAGAGAACATCTTCTTTCGATCGTCGGTAACATTGAACAGAGGCGACCTCGAGCAAGGACGATCGAACAAAACAAATTATGTCGGAATAAAATATTTTACACATCATTTAAACCATTAAAAGTTACATTTGATTGCAAATGGATGGCGCATGAAATACTACCGTGTTAAATTTAATCATGATTGACTCAGTTGATTTAATAGCGATTAGTCGCAATAAAAATATATTCATTCAAATTATTGAGGTAATTAACTAAATAAATGTTTTCAGCGCGGCAACATCGAAATGAAATATTATAAACGATTAAAAAGAAGCAAAGACACATTAGGTGTTATATATGTTCACTTACAAATATTGATACACGAAAATTATTTTAACTTTCGAGCTTCCTACAGTATGATTCAAGTGTAAAGTCGGTGCGATATGCATTCTATTACTAAATCACAGATTGTAAGTTAAGTTCTTCATGTCAAAATGTCTGAAAATGCATCGCTTTTGGGTGTTTTATACGTTTTCACTTATACAGAATACCAATGACGGTGTACAAGATTCTGTATGATACGATGTAAACGACTCGAAAACGTACAGTGTAATGTTTTTCCGCAAAATAACTCCTCTTTTACCACTGAGAAAATAACACACTGACCACTAGCCACTAGTTTGCAGACATTTGAATCCTGTGAGAAAATTTAACGAAAAGGAATACTTCCAACGACATTTCGAAAAGTTGCAACTGAAACTAAATTTACAATCTCCGGTAGTATCTTGAGTATTTCTTTACATACTTGTAGTTTCCTTTTTGGTTTCTCTTTAAAGCTTTTTATCAGAAAATAATGTACAATTTATCCTGCAGTTACTGCGACAGATTCAATTTGAATTTCTAAAATTATCAAGAAAAATATATCATGTTCATTCAAAACTGTTTGAAATTACTCGACAATTCTATGCAGAAAAAGGAGTTGCAACAGTAATACATTTTGTGCTGGAAATCCACATTGAAAACTCGCAGGCATTGATTGCCCTTTAAAACCTTTTCACCGTCCAAATTGTACAGTTAGGCGAGCAATTATTTTATCGACAGCAAAAAACTCAATACTCAACTACTCGCCATGGTCAATACTGAACGATCTAGCCTCCGCAAGAATGCGTGTAATCGCATTTTTTCCCAGTAGAACCGAAAATCTGCTCAATTGTTGTTGTTATTTGGTGCCTGTAAAGATGAAACCATAAAAAAGCTTCTAATGCGAAAGCCTAATCGTTGCTCAAGTTGTACGCAATGAAACCGATTAAACTAATTAACAGATTATTCGCATATTCCAGTGACTAATCACTGGGGGAAAAGGTATTCACTTGGAATGGAATCCCGTAAACGCCGGGTGCACTCGGATTAGCACATGAATTATTCAGATTCCAAGAGGGTGTCGAAAATGATCGATTCTGCAATTGGAGCCTATTGTTGGGGTGTTAGCAATTTACCAGCCAGGAGTCTGCACTAAATCTGTCTATTTACTCAGACAGACCATAAATAAAAATATGTTTCGTCAGACTAATGGAGCATCATTTAAAAGCAGGTGGTGGATATAAAACGAAATTTACCACACTTGGGCTTACGTCGAAGACGTTTGCATTGCCACTTTTAACCGAGCACCAGAACCAGCTACATCATCATTTCAAACACGGGAGAGATCTTTCCGATACATACGTCCTCAAGAAAATAATACTCCAGGAGATTTACATCGTACATCGTCTAGCGAATGCAAACACGCGATGTTGCTTAAAATTTGCATTAAAATCTTGTCCCGTATAAAAGGATCCGATTACAGCAACAAGACAATGAAATCGGGGAACCTGTATCCAAGTGAGAAAATTGAAGTTTAATTAGGAAATTAATTAAATTGAATGACATTCATTTCAACTATACTGACCATAACTGCAGATTAACTAGAACAACGAAGAGCCAGAAAAATACGAAAACATTTGGAAAAGTAGGAAAAATTCAGGGTGCTCCTCAACAAGTGTCCTATATTTAAACAAAGTACGAAATAAAAACAACCACTGAAAAACACAAGTTTTCAAACTGGATTCAATTCGTCCAGAAGAACCTGCTGCAATCTCTCGAAATCGCAATCTTCTTCTCTTCTGAACTTCTTTTGCCTGCTGAAATTTCCTGCTTGAGCACTAGCAGCTTAATTAATTCACATGTACCATCTACATTATTTTTCTAGTAAACCGGGTCAGGGCTTCAAATATTCGAAATGCAAATTTTCATGAACGGTATAAAAATCAACTAAATCTGCGACCGAGAAACAACAGCGTTAATGAACTTGAATAGTGAGTTTCGCGGCCGATCACAGCACGGAAAAAGATGGCAGCACCGATCGAGCAGGACAATCGGTGCCGTCGATTCCGGCGGAATTCCTGCAACTCTTGACGGCAAGAATCTCGCTCTTCTTCATCCTGGGGCCAAGAATTGGCGTCGCGACGCCGCCGTCGCTTCTTCGCCGGTGGACCATCCGAGCCATCCCCGCCCCTGTCGGTATTTAAACTTGCGACGCGCCACTCCATCCGAGTTCATTTCTCGGTCGTCCCTCTTGCAAGAAGATTTAACACACACGCTGGGACGCTTTTCTTATCGCAAAACGCGCTTTTTTTTCGCTCACCCAGTTGTGGAACTGAACACCACCATCCACCTTCGAAGCTTTAGCTTGGAACGAAAGTGGTGAGTGCAAGGACTGTATCGCATGGTCCCTCGAGCGACATTTCCAGTGTGGATTTTCGTGTTTTAGTTGCCGAATTTGCGATTAGAGGTAAGAGTGTGCGATCATCAATCAACCGACTCAGTGGAGGTTTTTCAATTGTGCGAAACAAGTGGTTTGCCTAATCATCAGTGTCACTCATTTCATGGACTTATCAAATTGTGCCTAAATTCCAGAAAAAATCAATTTTTTTTGTGCTTATCAACAGCATTTATAAAGGAAACAGTACAAAAACCACTTGCGTTTGAAGCCAAAATACTTTACAATTTATTTTACAATTTTTTTAATAGCAAATTTTATTACACTTTTCTGCATTCGTTGGTATCAACATAAACCAAATTCCCATATTAAAATTCGCGGCATTTTTTAACGAAAAATATTACCCTAATATTAATTTGCTTGAAGGTATGCCAAAAATGTGCTTAACATTTTTCAAAAATTCTTGCTGTAGGGCAAGCACTGAATGAGCGAATTAATTCTAAACGTTTCAAGCAGCAAAACGCTAAACTCGAAAATACTCGCCGTAAAAACGAAAGTCGAAATTTTTTTATCGTTTTCTCACTTATAATAAAATAAAAATTATCCAAAATTCAGTAAAAAGCTAACATTAAGAAATATTTTTAAATAACATTTTGACTTATAAAACGAATAAAAAATGTACGTATCCAGCAACCGCTAACTGACCGCTCTACGATAGAAAATGGTCCAACAAGCTGCGAAATGAGGATAAATTAATGCACATTTCCGGTTTCTCCTATTTATCATAATCGACATTTTGCGGAAAAATTCCCAAACAAAAAACAAGTTTCCTGCCAAAACTTGACAAATGTGCTCATTAAAATCGCCCCCAGCGCTATATTTTCAAAATAAATAATAGTTAGCGTAGCAATAAAAATTGATGGTGCTTAATTTATACAATATAAAGCGATTAATTTATTAATAGTTTGAACTGAAAGTTTATTGCCGGGCAAACAAGTTTCTGATCTAAGCGGGTGACGAACTATCCCGATAAGCTGCTTATTTAAACAATATTAGGTAATCCCAAAATTTTTGCGAATGCATTATTTATGATGGGAAATGATATTTGTTGATTGAATTTGTTGCTGCACATTTTAAAATATTCTAAGTGGATTGAAACAGTTGGCTAACCGACCGACCGATTTCATCTAATTTTTCCGCCCAATCGATTTTTCAATGCAAAAATTAAATGTGATTCGTGAGTTTCATATGTACATTTTTACCCGACAAAATCCTATTTTTTGCAGGGATCAATTCCGCTTTATTAAACGTTACTATTCTGAGACTTTTGCAAAATATTTTTAGATTTTAGTCGGCATTTCCAAGATAAACTTTATTTCATCACCTTCACCAACCCCATTTTTGAATCAGCACTAAACCTTAATCCTTGATAGTCTAGACTGAGGCTTTCTTTTTTCATCTACAAAGAATGTTCTTCGTGGTTCCTACAAATTGCTTTTGAGAAATTGGTCCTTGGTCCCATAAACGTATCGCTTTATGCTAATTTTAACCTTTCGGTTTTCCAATCCTGACCAGTATAAATTACTTTTGCTTATAAAAAAAGAACAAAGCTCAAATTTGCGTTTGAAAAAACCATAGAATGGTTGAGTCATTTTTCTTGAATGATTCACAATTTTTTCATTCCTTAGTCTTTTATCATTGACTTCTGTGGGAGTATGTAAACCAAAATGTCATAGTTGTAGGACAGCTGTTAGCCGAACTCGAACATTAGTTAAGTATATAAAGAAGTTATTTTTCGAACAGATTACTTTAAAACAAAAGTCCTTCTCGCTGTAGGAACTAATCCAAAATCAATGCAAAACACTTGAAATACCAATGTTCTTACGGCTGTTAAAGGTAGCAAAAGCCCTTGGTTTCATATGGCATTAAATGTTCCGCAAGACCATTGCCACCGCCATTTAACGTCTTCGACATGATGTGGTTACAGTAAAGTGTTCAATTCACACACAAGTTCTTGAAGTCGAAATTTCATTTCATTTGCATCTACCTCTGTTGCCGACCGCTCAGTTTTGCTGATTAGTTGTTTGCAATAATCTAATGATGAATCTAAGATTTAATGTTAAGTGCTTGCACTGTATTTAAGATTTATTTCGCGTTTTACCATTGCCTACCATGTAGAAAACACAATAAAAAATGGTTTCATCTAACATGTTCTATTGTTCTGTTGTATGTCCTAAACTATCGTCATCATTGTTATATTGAATACACTCTAAGTGCCCAATTATTGTGAACTGCAGTACCATTTTTGTGTACAAACAAAAATTGCATTAATAAAGAATAAAGCATCTATATGTATGTAAAAAATCTCCATTCAAGCGTTCCTATACCCTAATTTAAATACGTAAAGTTCATTAAGCGGAAAGTGTGTGAACGTGTGTAGTAAATTTTATCGGCCCCATAGGGAATTAAACTTTTTCATTGCCAAGTCTAATGTCAAGTGTAACAAGTTGAGCTTTCATTCATGTGTGCAAGTTTAGCGGCTTTATGAGCGCCAACTGGTTCCTTTAACCTTTTGGGTGTAAAAGATTTAGATTTGATTTCATAATTAATGCTTAAGTGGGGTTCCCATTGACTGGCGTACCCGGAGGAATTTGCTTAGCAATTAATGCACATTAACTGGTAAATATTTAAAGTGCACGATAACAGTTGATCGTCGAAAGAAAGCTCAACATTACTCCGGCTTATTAAAACACAGTCAGGTATATTATGTTTGTAAGCAAATAGCCGAACAAACAAGCCTTTAAATAAATGAGCAGGCACGATAGTCAAATAACGTCGGCTAAAATCCCCTATATGACGAAGGGGAAAAATAAGAGAAAAGACGGCCTTAAAGAAACAATTTCCGAACCACGCTTTCGACAAGGCTACGTAATAAATATGTGCAAATATTAGCACATAAAAGTAAACAAAACCCGCATCGTACAATGTAAGAGAGCCAGACGCAAAAAACGCAACTGTTTTTTTCTGGTTCTGCTGATTCGCCCAAAGGTCACAATTGCAGATATGAGTGGTAAACTTTTTCTCCAATATCCACTCTATCAGGTCCGGGCTTTTTAGAAAACATTGAAGTTTTCTCTCGTCATTTTACTTGATAATTATTTATCTCTATTTTGGACTGTGCTAAATCATTGACGCAACAGTTCTGGATGAATTAAAACGCTTAAAAAGGACTTTAAAAATAAGCTCAAAACTTACCGAAGTCCAAAGGATGCCAAGCTTCAACGATCTGCAAAAAAACACAAAAATTATACTTCTGAGTAAGTTTCCCTTTTTATTTCGCTGAATCCGATCCAGCCCAAGTCAAACAAACGTTTTCAGTGTCTGTACACCCGATGCATACAGATCGAACAAAAGCAAATTAAATATTGCAAATAAAAGCGGGTCGACGATCAGCTCGTATTGGCATTTATCAATAAAACTGTCCGTGGGCCACTTTTTTATTGACAATTTCTTACTTACAAAATCAACAGAATCATTGATAGAATGTTAATTTAAGGGACATCCCTGAACGCTTTTGCAAYCATTTTCCATTTTTTTCTTAAACCGTGGTGCAACTACAGTTTAGAAGTTTCTTGCATCCGATCTTCAAAACCCTTTACAACTTATGAAATGTTTTTTCACATTCATGCATAACTCTATTGATTAACTACACTAAACTACCTTTGTTGAGACTCGATACTTGGCTGAATCGCATTTAAAACTTGATTATTTATTTAATGAATTTTCATTGATATTACTCACTAAATGTTTTCTGTTTAATGGAGTTCGAGCCAAACCGTCCAAAAAGGCCTTATTTTACCTAAGAATGCTCAAAAAAGGGCAAAATTCATWAAAAAAAGTGGAGAAATACTTTGAAGAATTTTCTAGAATCTAACTTGTAACAGCCGGTCAGAAACATAGAAATCGTTTCATTATTTGTCACTTAAATATTAAATTCTTCTAAGATTTTCGAAGAAGTGGGCTTCTACTTAGGTACCAACCACAGTTCGAAAGCGTCTTTATTCGGCACCAATATTGTTAAAGCTTGTTAAATTTTGACACTCTTTTAAAGATTATATCCTAGATTATTTGCCACTTAACACAAAATTCCAGTCTTTGTCTGAAAACTAATATTTACCTCACGCTCTAACTAGTGCAAAGTGTTCTAATTGGGGCTAAAAACTTTAGTATATCACGAATACAATTAGCATGAAAACGTATTTTTGCAAGAACATGACAAATGTCGGCTGAAAATTGAGTTTTGTTAATGCATTCGCCGTTTTTATTAATTAATGTTTCTGTCTTAAACCATCGCTATAAATAAATGTTATTTCATCTACAACACGATAATTCGAATCTCAAAAAAATGTTGCAGGAAATAATGATCGAAGTTTTTCATCCAAATGTTTCGCCAGTCGGAACGACCATAATCTTCAGAAAGATACAGGGATGTTTTAAAAACCGACAATTCTCTCTCGTTCAGAAACTTTGAAACAATTTCTTGAAAGTGCTCGATCCAGTTCGAACGAATTGGAGTACAAACTTGTCAAACGATTTTTCAGAAATCCATTAATGCAAATACGATTCCCTGGGCATGCAAATACATTGTATGCCGAAGCAATAAGGAATACTTAGTCGATAATCTTTTCTCACTATCTGTTGACACCTCGGAACCACTACCCAGTGTTTGCCCATCTCTTCACAGTCACTCGCGACCAATCATTACAAACACTGCCCGTTCCCACGACAAATCTAAGAAAATATTGAACGCCGTTTGTACTTAAAAGTTCAAACACACCACGCACATATACGGACTTTTGTCTATTTAAGTTGAAAAAGTTCAAAAAGCTCATAACTATAAAATGGATTTTGGGCGCTGTTTGCTCTTCCTACACGAGTGGGTGGTGGCCATTGGGAAACAGACAAAAAATTCTCATCAATAAATTCAATGCTATCGCTTGAAAATTCCTCGGCATTTATCTAACAAACTTTCTTCAATCAAATATACCGTTCTATTACTGCGGCTCTGGCTTAAAACCCAGATACTAACTGATGGCTTTTAAGCTGCTCATTATGACAACTATTATTTAAAAAATGCCGAGCTAAAACTCAAACTCACGAACCAGATGCAGATTTTCGAAACCCTCTTGAAAAATTCCCTTCCGGATGTGCACAACTTTTAACACTCACAAGCCCCACTGAGCCGCTATCTCTAGTCGCATCGGATACCATTTGAATGAACTCCTGTTTTAAATAACTTTATGAGACATTTACGATGGTAATTTTCGAGATAAGAGCCTAAGAGGCAGGTATGAGTGTTTTTGGTTACCGACATTAAGCTATTAGCATCGGATGGGATAAAGACAGATAATGGTTACTAGAAGTTGAAAATAAGAAGTAGCAGATGGAAAACGAAGGAAAGTGCAAAATAGCTGTTCTTCAATGCATATCTCCAATCCATCAAAACTACTATTTTATGCTGTTTTTCCTATAAGAACCAATGTGGTTCCAATTGCACCTGTTCTTATGACGGTCTCAAATTTATACTCAAAATAGAAAAGCGGTTCAAGATGTTTAGTACAACCACCCAAGGTTTACTTGCTTAATCCATCTGATGCTTTCATTATAATCCCTAATAAGTAAGCAACACTTGAAATTTCTAAAAATAAACACCCCCACAGGAGACTGTATTCTATAAATGCGTATGGAAAATACACATAACTCTTGATTAATTGGACCGCAACATCTGCATCTATAACTAATATATTTGAGGTTAAACCCGTATAAATTGCACCTCCGCATGAAAAACCTATAAATTTCGACTGTAAAACGGGTTACCTACATTCGATAATTAATAATATCCTCTTAGGCTTGAATGGCCTCTTGAGAACAGGGATTAATTACGAAATACATGTGGAGTCAGATAGGAAACTTAAATAATGCTGTTGCATATGTATGCCAAACTAAAAGTGGAAGAAGTTTGAGCATTGGAAAAATTCCGAAATTAGTGCAATTGTGGCGATGTGAGCAACCTTATCCGAACAACGTTCCAATTGTTAATAGCGAGAAAAAGCATAGTCTTGAATCCTGAAATAAAATACGAGCGATTCCAGTAATGACAAAATCCTAATTTGTATTCCATTACGTACGCCTAAACATATAATTTAATTCGAATAAATTCCTCAGCATTCCGATACGTACCAACGTTTTTCCGATGTGTCTGTATGCTTGTAATATACCTTATTACTACATGGTAACAGCGAGTATCGGCAATAAGACGGTTGTTAGGCTGTGTCCCAATTTGGCGATGAATTTATGGCTAATTTTCCCATGTGCATTCCGAAATTGATTTGTTGCTATTTAATCGGCAAGTTTGTACTTCATTTGTCATAAACAATCGATAACTCAGACAGATCCAATTGGGATTTTTGCAAATCGGCAGCGGTTATAGCTATATGGTCTGCGAATACGTTTGCCTCAGACAAGCATGTTGAAAAAAGATTTATTATCCTTAAATGAAACCCAGTTCCTATAAATGGTTTATTCTGGGTGAGAATTGGTAAAGCGATTGAAAAGAGTTAAGTTTTGCTAAATATAAATAGTTGAGTAATATTGACTTGCTCGTTAGGCAGAAAAAATCGCATAGCTACTGATTGAGCAAATGAAGAATATTTCAGGAACTAAAATGGCAAAAACCACTTAACAGTATGATTCAATTTTTCATGGGCTCATCGTCATTATGTTATTTACCATCCATTATAAACATACATCCGGTTCAAGATTAATTAGAGAATCTGGGTAACCTGCGTTTTTAACTTCGAATTTATGAGTTTTCCCGCAAGGAATAAATTAGAAGCAGTTGCAACTTAATAGGCGATCCACTTGAGTTCCCGATGCAGCTACTTGGTATTCTAATTGACGCAATCGGTGCTATACAATTTATAATCGCATTATGGACCAGAATTACATATTCATCAAACGATGCATATAAATTCCACTAAACTTGTTCAATAAAAAAGCAATTTTTTGCGGTTCAGTTTGGGTCAGTGGTATTCTAGCACACCATTATGTCTCCGTTTCGTGGAAATACTAGTCGATAAACCAGAAACGCACAAAATTCAGAAATTTTCTCTTTTTCGTTCATGAATAATGTCATGAGGTGAACCAGTCGGGTTCAAGTCAGCTCATTTTTATTCATTGAGGATTTTTCGACGACACAGTTTTTGCTGCCATTTTTCAGGCTACTGATCAAAATTCGGAATGCGATCGCAATTGATAGCGAAACGATTAAAATTTCATGTTTTGGACCTTGAGTATATCCCATGAGTACGTTTTAGGTAACGGTAACTTGCGTCTGGACTTTTTTTTTATTTTAAGAGGTCGATTTTTGCCAATTGCTTATTTTCTAAATAAGTTTTATTTTGTTTCAGGTATGTTTTTGCATGTCTTTCCCTACTAATCAACTGGGACTTCTTTGAGTGGTAAGTGTGGATCACGCGGTTCCGACTAGTCGACGTTCGAAGACCTAAGAACACTGCACCTGTGCCATTAATTAATAACATCATTAATATTCAGTGTTTCCAAATACATAAACTATAAAGAGCCTTTGAAGTAAGAGCCGCTCTTCCATTAGAAGCCGGATCTTGAACAGCCAGAACATGCAAATCCTGCAAGTTGACTACCAGGAACAATAAGCCCATTAGGCGCATTGTCGGAACTCTTAATTTAATAAGTAGTTTAGTTCCAGTGAGTTTTTCGGTTCCCAGGAATAACCGCAGGGTCTTGGCCAATGGCTTATAATAAAAACGAAAATTAAACGAACAAGAAAACACCTGAAGAATTAACACCTTTAGCGCAAAATTATAGGTTGTTGCCAATGAAAATGCTGTGTCCAGCGCACCGTGTAAAATCTCCATCTTAAAACAAAAACAATCGATCGTTTTTTCTTTTTGCTGCTAGACAGAAAACGTTAACGAATTGTTTAGTCATTTTTACACCATGTAAACCATTACGAGTGCATACTTTTTGCCTTGATAGTTTCGCGTTTTTAACAGCGATAGAGGTTTGTCGTCGACGACTACAACGTACAACTGCAAACTGCCTTGAGCCCAATGCAACACTTGAAAATAACTTAAGGAAGTAGTTTTAGCAGATAACATCGACATATAGAAAACCTCTACTACAGCCCCTCAATGAAAAACAACATACACTCCAAAAGAAAACAACCGCCTCCAGGGAGTTTAAAGG